CCGAAACGTCAACTTTCTTGCTCCTCTGATGCTGCCTGGCCTGCTGTATTCCTCCAGCTCCGCCCTGTTTTATCTCTATCCACTACCTCAATAACGTTTTTATAATATGATGACTAAAACTGCACAAGTGAGATCCAAACCAAAGTTTGATTGAAGTTTAGCATAAGGCCTGGTTTTCACAATTGATGGTCTTTGCTATCCTTTTGTTCCTCCACCACACCCAGACCTGTGCCTTCAAATAACAATGTGATCTCCCTATTCTTTCTACCAAAAAATACTTTCATATATTTGTCAATTATTTGCTCATTCTGTAAGTTTCTTAAGATATTCCTGTAAGTTCTTGCTCCCCACATGCATAATTTGGCTTTGTCTGAAAATTTACAAATTGTGCATTAGATTTCAAAATTGAAAATGTTAATGTAATCTGTAAATATCAGTGGCCCCAGTACTGATACTTGACAGACATCACTTCCCACCTTTTCCTTCTCTGAATAATTACAGTTTACGGACTCTGGGTAATCCAAGATGAGGACAGAAAAAAGTTGTGGCTGTAGGAGCTGCTCCTTTTTTGAGGCATTTTCGGTATTGGAGCTGATTTCCTTGAATTCTAGAAGCAATAATTACTGTCTTATAAGCTATTGCATTGTTTTGAAACTTTAGAAAGAAAAGAGATTAAAACAATAGCATTTTTAAAAAGGAGGAAAAGAGACAGGGCAGGGACCTTGTGGGAGGTGAAACAAATGGAGAAGTAAACCTGCACAGCTGTGTGATCAGGCAGTGAACCTGCACAGCTGAATACCTCTGCTATCTAGTTTCAAGTATCTCTGGACATTGGAGTCCATTCTAAGAAAAATAAACAAACAGTGAAATTCACAGCTGACCTTGTGAAACCTCTGTGGGGGAGCTCACAGGAGGGGAACAGCTAGGTGGCTAATTTTAAAGTGTAACCTCACTGTTTTTATTTGGAAATCTACAACAGTGAGTACAGTGTTTTTTTTATTGCATGTTT